CCCTCACCCCAACCAGGCGCGCGTGGGGCGCACCCTGGGGTCACTGGTGGAGCGCGCGATCAAGGTCCGGCCCGCCAACGCGCACAGCGGCGCCGGCGGCAGGGGTAGCGCGGCGCGCAGGTAGCCGGCTGCGCCCCGCCGCCTATGGGAGCGACCCCTTTCTCAGGCGTTCACTTTGCTGCGGCGGGCGGCGGGTATGCGTGGGGCTGGCGCCCCGGCGGGGTGGCCCGTGCAGGCGCCAGCGCGGCGGCTGCAGGGCTGTGCTGCCCAGAAGGGTGTACGTAAACATCTGCATTTCGCAACATATTGTGCACGAGTTACTCCGTGGCCGCGCCTAGTCAGCTATCCTGGCTCTTACCGGGTGCGGCATGCAGGCAGTCATGCAGCGTTTTAAGCATAACGGCGCGCGCTAACGAGCCCCATTCACAGCCCCGCCGAGGGAGGGGGGTGGGAGGGGGGCGGGTGATGACGAGGTTGGGCAGAATCTTAGGAATAGCGAAGAAGAGAGAGGGCCCGCCAAGACGCATGGCGCATCGGGGTTGCAGGCAGGGCCGCGCGGCGCAAGCAATGCAACGGGGCGCCTGCTCACGCGCGGGCAGGCGTGCGCAGGGGCGCCTGCGCGGCTCCTCGCCAGGCCCAGGCGTCAGAAGGGATTGAGACCGGATAAGAAAGCCCTGGCAATACGCGGGTCTCTTGCGTGTGGCCGCTTTGGGCGCAGAAACCAGCCGGCAGGGTAAGGCAGTGCCAGGTCAGCGTTATGAAAGCGCGGCCTGACGCTGTTGGTGGGGCTGTCCCCCTCACCGTCAAGTAGGCCCCAAAACAGCTTTGTGAGAATCAAGTGCCCGGCCGGCGCGATAGTGCATATTGCCGAGCGATGGCGCGTCGCGGCAGGGGCCCTGGGCAGCGCATCGTGGGCGCGCCCATACTGAGCATGCCCCAGGCCCCTGCGGCGTCTAGTAACCAAGACGGAAGCCGATGGGTGAGCGCGCCCTGCCCCCTGCGTCGCACGGCTGCAAGTAGTGCCGCCCCAGCCGCCACCCGAGGCCATCCGCGCTGGGCGGCAGCGCACCCAAAGGCGGGCCCCAGTCGAGCGCATGCGCAGGGGTCCCCAGGTCAAGGGGGGCCCCGCGTCGCGGCACGAGCCGGGGAAAGCGCAGCTAGGAGGCGGCAGGCAGACGGCAGACAAAATGAGAGGCCCGTCCGGGCCCCAGTCAAGCCTTGACTCGGGGCAAACCCGCCCCCAGCAAGATCAAGCGGCGAGCGCGGCGGCTGCGGCGGGCGCTCGCGCGGCCCCGCATGTGTCCAGAGTCTCTGGGCCCCCGGCGGTGCCTGGAGATGACCATTGGGTTGGCAGTGCCCAGGGCGCGGGGCGTGGTCGGCCCCGGCCCCGCGCGTGTGTGGGGTCCCCGGCGTTGATGAACGCTCGTTGGTTGGGTTGCGAGGCCCCGGGGCGCGCGTGCGCGCGCTCGGTCCACGAGACTGCGCGCAGCGCGCCGCTGCACGGGCTGGAAAAAACGCGGAAACACACGAAACGTGCAGAAAAAGAGACGACTCTTGTGCCGGCAAAGGGAGCCAGGAAGGTGACAAGGGGGACGGAAGTTGCCGTCGAGCGGCCCCAACGGCCCCAATTCCCCCTGGATGTGGCGCCGCCTCCAAAACCGTCGTCGCCCGGAGGCGCCCGCCGAGTGGCTCGTTGGCATGTATACGCGAGAGATCGAACGTACGCACGCGGCGGGGTGGCAAATCAGCGGGCCCCTCGGCCCCGCGTTGCCGCCGGGGCGCCATTCAAAGCGGCGCCGCTGCGCTCAAGTGGTCAGTGCCTGTCGCCGGCAAACAGTGGTTGGGTTTGTATGGGAAATTGAAGAGGGGCGGCAGCGGCCAGGCCCCGGGTTCAGGCCTGCTGCAGCGCCTGCCGCTTTTTGGGCGCGCCCGCGCTGTCCTGCTCCTCGCTGCCTGCGCCCGGCGCCGCAAACGCCGGCGCGCCGCGCTTCGCGCCCGCCGCGGCGGCCAGCGCGCAGCCGGCTGCGGCGGGCTGAGCGGCGAGCTGCGCGAGCGGCGCGGCTCCGACGCCGGCGGGGTCGCCCGAGGCGGCGGCCGTGAGGCTGGACAGGGCCGTCAGATCTAGGGAGGTCGCCAGGCCCGGCACGGCAGGCGGCGTCCGCGGCGCCGCCTCGCGCAGCAGCTGCAGAAGCTCTGGGGGCAGCGTCTCCCCAAAAGTGCGGGTGCTGCCGCCTGCGGCGCCGCTGCTGCCGCCGCCGCCGCTCGACCGCTGCGTCTGCTGCTGCTGCGAGTGCTGCTGCAGCAGCTGCTGCGTCTGCTGCTGCTGCCGCCGCTGCTGCTCGAGCTGCTGCTGCTGCAGGTGCTGCAGCAGCAGCTGCGCGGCCAGCTGCTGCTGCTGCGCCTGCTGCTGCTGCTCCCGCTCCCGCTGCTGCTGCTGCGCCAGCGAGTGCACGGCGAGCAGCTGCTGCAGCGCAACGGGGTTGGCCAGCAGCGCAGGGTTTGCGAGGGCGCCCTGCAGCAGCGCCTGCGACAGCGGCTCCAGACCGCCGGCTGACGCCTGTTGCTGCTGCTGCGGCGGCGGCAGCAGCGCGCCCGCGAGCCGCTCCAGGTCGAGCGTCGGCGGCAGGGGCAGGGGCAGAGGCAGCGGCAGCGGCAGCGGCGCGGCCATGGGCACGGGCGCCTGCGGCGGCAGCAGCGTGTTTGCGGCCGACGCCGCGATTGCGGCGAGCGCC